ATACTGTCGCATACTTAGATCTATTGGGACTCAGTCTGTTCATGGACGGTAAAAGTAAGTGCAAGCTACCGCCACCGGTCTAAGCAATATTTAAAATTTATCGTGTAAGTAGCTTATCTCACACCAAACCTATCCTCTACCGTTTCATCCACGAACTGTTTATGTTTTACTATAAGTGAATATGAAATTGTGTGCAGTGCATAAAAGCTTAGTTATGCTGCTGTCAAATGATAACAAAACATAGGAAATGACTTTCACATTACATTTTATAACTTACTTTTATTTCATACAAAACGCTACTACCTTTGTAAGTCCTGTAAATACACCACTAACTAATTGTGAAAATTAGAAATGAATCTTAAAGCGGGTGCCTGTATCCTGTAGGGTACTCAGTGCCATGAGATAATTATATGAAAATAACTTTATTGACTAAACTAAACAGTAAAGTTTTAAAAACAAACCTGAAAAGGTTTGAGATTATAGGTTCTTTATTTTAAGAGGCCATGTCAGTTTTGCAAAAGATCATTGTGCTTTTCAAAATAGTAATAGAGCTGTTTTAATTGTTGAATTTCATCCAATTTTTGCAGAAACGTTACATATGTAAATAATATTTTAATAAAGATATCTTTTATTTATACTTTAAGACCTCTTGAATGGTTAGAGTTTTGAGAACTGATTTGCCCAAGTTAAATATAAAAATGGTGGTATGTTGAATCTAAAAAAAATGCAGAATGATTTTACGGCATGGATCAAGGGACATACAGTGTGACGCACTCGTAAACAACAAATTGTTCCAAAGTAAAGAATGATTAATTCCTCAAAGAAGAAAACATGGGGCAGTACTAGATAACATTGAATTTTAAACGGGGATCAAAATATTAATAAGAGACGAAATATGCTAATTTCATAATATTCAAATATAATACCGAAATCTACAAACTGAAATCTAAAAATGTATCATTTTAAAGAAATATTGCGAAAATACGTGCTATAACTATATAGAAATCTACAAGTTAAATATTTATACGCCGGCAGTAGAATTTTTGTTAAAGACAGTAATTGAAGTTACACAATACAGTATAAAATGTAAGGAAGGGCCATATCGAATGCAGGAAAACACTGTCTTTGAAGTTTTTTTCATCGTTATTAAACATCATACACGCGGGATTTACGCGTGATAACTGTCAATTAAATTAGGTGCGAAAATATTATGACACGTAAATAATCAAGCAAGATAATCTACATGGCTATACAATGTCAATGTTGTTGAATTGTGATAATATATTTTGAAATAATAGTATATGTTTTCTCTGAAAATCGGGACAAAATGATCTTTATAATACATTAATATTTATACAAAATATTCAAATATAACGTATTTATACTGTACTTTCTTTAAAAAGCAATATTAATATTAAATTCTATTTATACGCTATATTTGATATTCGATAAGTCACTTTCGTCAGGTTCACATGTATCAGCTAATGTATAAATATTATGTAAATGAATGAAGATTAAATAATTTAAAAAAATCAAACAAAACAAATTTAGTTTTCATTATATATGTCTACAAACTGCACGCTACATTTGATATTTTTACTTTCATTTCCTCTCGCTCACAGTCGTCCGAATAAATCACTTTCGTATTGTTCTCTGTGAGCAAAAGGAAGATCTCTGAACATGTATATAGTATAGAAATTATGCAAATAATTTGATATTAAATCATCATAATCATTATTTTGGAAATAAAAGTATCAATCATTTATGAAACACGTCTGTATTTTTATTGCAAAAATGGAGTATCCTAAAGTGTATATCTGATATACAGTTAAATTTTAATAAAAAAACTAATTAAAAAAAAAAATTCCTACCTACCTACCCTTTTATTTTTCAGCATGTTTTCAGAACCTCAAGATCATTTTGTTTTTGTCTAATGACGTCAAACACACAGGCCAATTTTTCTCCATGGAAGTTTTATCTTATGTATACCATATCACGCCGGCCTCGAGGCCGGCGTGTAATAATGATACTATATACATATGACATTATTTATTTACACATTAATAAACTCTTAAAATTAAAGGCCTCTGCAAAATAGAGCATTTCGACCAAGGTAGGAATTATGACATGGTATTGTAAGCACAATGCCATGATTTTACCATAAGAAGTGAAAATATAAAACAATAGTGAGTTAAACTCACTATGCACTCCATTCATTTTCTTTTTAGGGGGGAAGGGGTAATCATAAAACAACAACGCTATTTTATGAATTTATTCACTTTCGGCAGCTCTCCGACGTTCATTTAATCCCATAACGCTGTCACATTTTTCATTGTATGGTAACAAAACAGTTAAAATGAAACTATTAACCAATGAATTATAAATGATACAATATACAGACAGGCACTAAAATATAAGATGAAAAAACATGCACTGTTAATGAGAAATGATGTGTTGCATACAGAATATGTGTTAAATATCTGATGACTATACGATAATTTTAGACAAATTGATCATTTTAGTACATTAAAAAATAGTAAAAACGGAATCCCTAAAGAACGCTCTAAACTTCAAATTTTAAAATTTCGCAAATTATTTCGGCTTGATTAAAATTATGGTAATTGCAAGTTACGCCTCAGTGCATCAGATGAAATAGCTATGTACTTTTATATGTTTTTCATTGTTTTTAATCAAGTTAAGAACAAAGAGAATAAGCGGCTGGTACAAATGCTTTGACAGCAGAGTGAGATGTGTTTAGTACTGTTTCGGTGGTAAAAGAAAATAATTGACCCGATATTCATTGTATAAGTTCAAAGGTTAGAAACTAAAATTTTAAGTATGACAAGACCACAATAAAGGTCGACTGATTGTACTGCGCGACGAGATATTGTGCTGTTGTGGATCATTGTGTATACTTAGGCAATATCTCGCCTCTACGTACAGCATAATAAGTTCATTTTTCTGTGGTGAAATTTGCGACGGGATTTTGAGCGCAAGATTTGAATAGTCAAAAATTATATTTTATTCTTATTTGAATAAATTTGTAATGATACCTTTAAAGTGTATTCATTTCTACATCAATTCCATGTTTTATTTGTGAAAATATTCTGAACGATTTTGTAATTAATAGAAAAGTGAAAATATGTACCATCAAAATAAGGGCATTACCGCTAATGTCATGTGATAAATACACTGTTGATAACTACGGGGAACTTCGTTACAAGAAAATAGTAAAAGATTAAGTTTAATGTTATATTTAAGACATTAATTTATGCAAACATTTATAATTATAGAAGGATAAAAAATTATTTTATGGATTATGTTATGTTTTCCAAGATTATGATAAAAATAGGGATATTTTAAAAGCAGACACATGGTGTTTGTATGTATCAAGAGCAGTCTGTTATTTGTTAAGAAGCTGACTGACCACATTTACCATGATTCTAATAACACAGGGTGGAAACCTATATCGATCTTAAAGTTGAACATAGGTAGAAAATATGTGTAAATTCCGCTCATCAAGATGTGCGCTGTAATGCGATATGTAAAGGAGAAAAGAGGTCATTCACAGGGTAAGGAAATATTTGTATAAAATTCAAAGACTTTCCTCTATATTTACCTATTTTTGTTCCGGATTTTGTTATAAGTTTTCGTAGAGATATTTTTCCTTCATGGGTTCTGGTGTGCACAAAACATTAATCTCTTTAGCATATATGAAGCGCGACTGGGATTTTTACCAGCAATTCCTCTTTTTGGGGCCCATTCTCAATGACCGTTTCAATAAGGGTTTGCTTTAATGTTTAGCATCGTTTTTGATAGTAAGATTTTGTGAAAACACTGTATTTTGAGTCCGTTCGGCGACATTTTCTTCATACGCATTGCATTTTTGGGCACTGCAGAACCCACGACGGAATTTTGGGCACTGCAGAACCCACGACGGAAAGAACATCTCGATGAAGACTGCATAAAATTCCGGAAAAAAAATAGGTTGATATAGAGGAAAGTCAGGAGGGTAGATTCACATTTCGATTTTCTTTAACAGAATTTTATATATCAAATGTTTAAATAGTTGAAAACTCACCCTGTGAATGACCTCTTTCTCTTTCACATATCGAATTATAGCGCACATCTAGATGAGTAAAGATTCTCATAATTATACTTTTTTCCGATGCTCAATTTTAAAAGCCATATGGGGTTCCACCACCGTGAATAAGTATAATTCTATTTTCGAAATGTTCGGGTATCGATTTTGAGCAACATCAAATGTGTGGTATTGGTACACAAACGAGACTGTTAAATGAAACTAACGTGGTTTACTGTCTTCTACGTAGAAAGACTGGCCGTAATTGCCTTAAAATGATATTGTTGAGCAAACTCTTAATTTTAAATCGCTGCATTTTCACATTATACTTAAATCAACATTTCACCACAGAAAGGTCTGTTTCTGGTTTTGACGTGACATAGAAGCGAAATTATGACCCACAGAAAATATATCTCAGAATCTAGCTTTGGCACGTCATTATACTTGACTAGACCATAACAACACATGCATGATAAATACATGTTTAATCAAACTAGATATTTTAAAGAACACATTAAACAAATGTTCTTAGAAATATTAAAACACCGAGGAAACTTAAAGTGAGATAATGCAAATTCGAGAGGAAATTGTGAGTGTTCAAATATAAATAACCTTACTTTTTGCCATATTTGTTTTCAATTTGATATTAACGCCAGCTGAGTAAAGTATATTCTTTTATTGTTTTTATAGTTTAGGAAGTTTTTATATTTTAAAAAATTAACATGTTTTATTGTCAGTTATTGTTCAATGACATTGGTCAATCTTTTGAAATAATTCATCTTAGCTTAACAGTGAAAAAATAAATAACCATTTTAATTCAGCAATATAAAGCAAAATATTTCCACGTAAAAAAGCAAGGGTTGTCAGATAGAAACATGCACAAGAGACTCTATAAGTTGCTTTTTATATTTTAGATCGTATTATACGGACAATTAGTGCATGGCAGGAATCTACATACAATTTCCAAAGTACTAAGCCTATGGTAGCAGATTATGCCATTGATGGAAACCGTAATAACGACCTCTTTGATTGTGCTCACACGGATACGACCTTCTCATATTGGAGCGTGGAGTTCGAGCGCATCGAAACAGTATCCCACGTAATTGTCTTCTTCAGAAATCAAATCAGTAAAAGTAAGAACATAAATGTACTGTAAAGTATGTGTTAATATATTATGCTGGGATCATTGAGAATGCTACGTATGTCTCATTGACTTCGTTTCTATTAGTGTAACAGTAGCAGAGCAAAATGATAAATAATATTGCGAACGATGTTATTGACAAGAATTTGTAATAACGCTAAACACTAACATGTAGATTTGTCTACAATGGGCACATTTCCCTAAAGTGTTTCAAATACTGATAAAATCAATAAAAATGTATCATTTGGATAATCTTATGAAATATGTATGGAAAATAGTTCAAAATGATTTATTATGAACATATATATAAACATGTAATGTTGAATAATAATATTTTGTTCTAGAAAAATTATCATCTGCTAAATATTTATACAGTAGTGTGAGCGTTTCAGTTTACACGAAAAACGCACGCTCTGGAAAATACGCAAGCACGTTACACGCTATACGAACGAACGTTAAACGCACGCTTTACCAAACGAAATACGCAGACGCACGCAAAACGATATACGCTAAACGAAAAACGATAAACGCACGCTAAAACGCATGCAAAATAAAAAAGTTTCTAAACTTTTAATAAATTATCGTAATCATATAATTTTTTAACAACTTTAGCTCTATTTCAGATATTTTTAACTTTTCAACAGTAACAGACGCAAAACATCGTACTGAAACGTTTAGATGAACGCACACTCACGCTAAACATTTCTGTGGATAACAAATGCACGCTTTTAAATACACGATCAACGAAAAACGATACACGAAAAAAGATAAACGTTAAACGCTTGTAAACGATGCACGCTTGAGAAAGCGTTTTATCAAACGCACGTTGCACGATATACGCACTCACGATAAACGAAAAACGCTATTTTAGACAACTGAAACGTTCACCCTACTGTATGTCATATCGGAACATGTATCTAAAACTCCCAAACAACACCCATAGATGATTCTTTATTTATTTTCACATATGATACCTAATATTTTAACATAGTTATTGATGGTATATGAGATCTTTCTTTACAATATGGTGTATGGTACCGGTCCTGTCCTGCGCTTATTACGAATAACTATTATTTAAAAACCCGCCTTAATATATACATCTGAATTGTTCTTCATATATCTAACAATATTGATTATATATATATACAAAAAATGAAAACAAGTGCCGGAAAAAAGTCACATATAGATAAAACAAAAAACACAGTCCATGAGTTAACTTATATAATTATTTGTCAACCGGTTTCTCTTATGATCATCAGGGCAAATGTGACGTCGTCGCATAGCAACGACGTTTTTGTGTACACATGTGTACGCATAATCTAAAAATAGTAACGTCATAATATAGTATTAAGTTTTGGATTAAAAACATCTGTTGGAAATGTTTTATATGTTTTAGTTTGCAACGGCTGCAAAGAATTTTACATAGGCCAAACAGGCGACAAACTCAGAAACAGAAAAACTGTTCATGCTCAGCAGATAAGAGACCCAACAAGACAATTACCTTTAAGTGAACATTTAGATAAATGCTGTAAAAAAGACCCGAAATTTTGTATTTTCCCATTTTATAAATTTCACAGTAAAAACGTTTGAGCTAGGTTATGTAAAGAACTCTATTTTATTGATGTTTTTAATCCAAAACTTAATACTATATTATGACGTTACTATTTTTAGATTATGCGTACACATGTGTACACAAAAACGTCGTTACTATGCGACGACGTCACATTTGCCCTGATGATCATAAGAGAAACCGGTTGGCAAATAATTAAGTTAACTCATGGACTGTGTTTTTTGTTTTCTATATATATATAATATGTTTTTCTGCTTGATCAATCGATAAAGGTTGTATTGTTTTTGTTCTTTTCTGATATGTAGTCAATTATGTTTTATTAAAATAATCAAAAGCGACCACCTATCAAATAAGAACAAGTAACAATGCAACCTTAACCGATTTTCAAACACTTGGTTTCTTCGAGCTTAAACAGCTTTGATTTATTATTTTATTTTAATTTTGATAAAAGATTTCAGGAATACAGAGATGCGGTTGCTGATTTCATCTACACGGAACGAATCTGATAATAACGTAGGTACCGATTGTGCTTACTACGATGGACCCCCTGAATCGCCGTCTCCACCCGTAAAGATCAGTTGTAATCACCCAGTGGCAGGAAAGTTTCTTAAGATAATTCACTACTTTCAGAATAAGCTGGTTCTGTGTGAAGTTGAGGTTTACCATGTTTAAAAGGACATAACTTTGTTTTTAAGTAAGCGTTAAAACACAACGCCTCGCTTTGAACGAAATATTCTTATCAAATTGTTGAATAATTTTACTTTACATTATGGGGACAAAATGAGACGCCAATACAACTGAAGATACCAAAGTCGACAGTCATCAGGCGAGTAGAAACTGTTGTGTCAAGCCATGTTCGAGAATTCAAAAGATATCCCGTACTGTTTATAACGATATTAATTACTGTTCATTCTATATCAATTGCATTTTGCTACCTTCGTCGATACTATCGTATGAGTTCGAGTTATTTTGTCATTAAAGGATTTTATCTTTTATTGTATGCGGAAAAAGGGTATATAGACTCAACGGTCCAAATTAAAGAAATCTTGAATGCTACAATTCCTAATATAGGACATATATAGAACGGGCACGTAGTTCAATCAAAAAGAAGCGATAAGATGTCACTAATTGTAAAGAATAATTATTCATACTGTAACCAATGAAGATGTATATGTATTCAACATGCATTTTCAGAGAGTATCGAAATCTTTATGCAAAAAGCGGAAACATTACTAAAACTTCTGCAATAACAAGCAAAGTGTATCACTTTCATGAAAAATTAAATAAGTTTATAATTATCTTGTTACAGTACAGTTAATGAAATTATTCTGATAAAACTTACATATGAATATTTTCAATACAGTAATGTAAATTATTTCTATTATAATCAGCTTTCATGGAATCTGGTTGAGCGACTTAAATGGCACTAAGTTTTTCCTTATTTGATAATTTATTTTTGCATCGTGTAAAATAAGTAAAGTAATCGATAAACATTATAAAAGAAATGAAATGCATTTGATAAGAAATCCATTTAGAACACTTCGCTATTTTTATCACTCGATGCATGTAAAACTACAGACTTTGCAACAATATTTGTCTACGACTTGTATAATATTTAGGTCAATAGATAACATGGATAAACCCCACTGATATATGTAAAACACCTTAAATTGCAAGGTTATGTATGATTTTTATTATGTTGTCATTTTTATCTAATGCTTTGATCTATTCCTTGACATCACGAAATGCATGGATGTACATGTAATAAAAAAATACATTGGAGATGTTTGTATGGGAAAGTCTATATGTTTGTATTTCTACAATTATTTATCGTAGTTTAAAGTCGGCTTTGTCACTGAACCGTACATTTGCTTAGCATACGTGTATTGTAATTAATGTCAACACTATTTTAATATTTCATTTCGTCTTTTTAATTGATTATCAATAAGGGTTGTCTAAAAGCTGTGAATTTTAATATACGATACAAGGTATATTATGAAGATGATATGTTTAAAGATCCTGTATGTTGTGATCAAAGTGGTTTAACACACTAAGTGAATTTATAGATATGTACATAATTATGCAAATAAAACAAAATTCAAACATCGAAAAATATGTAAAATATGTACTGCAAATAATTTTGAATATTATATGTAATCATTAAAATATATGCATTCATTTCTTATTGTAAAATTTGACTTAAACTTTATAGAAAATATTTTTATTACCTCCCTTTATTTACATGAAACGTTTAATTCGGTAATATATTTATAAATAATGCTTTTTGGAACATTAAATATTGATAAATCTTAATTTGAGCATTAAACCATAAAAAAGATGTGTTACAGGATCTTTAAGTTCATCGACATCAAACCGTTTATCCTCTTGAGGAGATGTTTGTATGGGAAAGTCTATATGTTTGTATTTCTACGATTATTTATCGTAGTTTAAAGTCGGCTTTGTCACTGAACCGTACATTTGCTTAGCATATGTGTATTGTAAAAAAACTAGACTAATATGTACTTGCGTTTTTGTTTGAAAATTAATGTGTCATTACCATAAAAAATGCCCAGAAATCAGTTATTCTTAACTTTAAAGTTGAAAAAAAGAAATGAAGTTATAAAAGATGACACTTCTAGAATAAACCATTTCGAATCATTTATAGAATGTTTCATTATGTCATAATAACAAAACCTTGCTTTAATGTTCAGCAAGAACTCTTATTGTTTTTTTTTTTAATTACTTTCTGTTCTTATTTTCTGAAGAAATGATTAAGACTTTGTTCACATAATTTTGAAATTAATGTATATCATTATATAATACAACAGATAGGAAACACAGATTATTAAAACATGCAATCAGAATTTTATCGAAATAGAATATCATTTTTTACTTTAATGTACTTAATATTCTGATATGCGTAATTGTTTTATACGGCATGTTTCTTAGCTCCCAATAAATATGGTCAATGTCATAATGCTTTAAACAAATTAGACAAATTTGTTCATCTATTAACTGTTAAGCAAGCTGTAAAATATGGAAAAAAAAACAATCTTGAAAAATTATAGATCTTTTATTAAATGTATTTATTCTTTATTAGCGTATTGATAATTATTGTCAATAGTATATTTTTATCTTAGTTCACATAAATACTTTTATCTATTGCTTATTGCATCTGTTTTGTCGAATTTGGCCTATTAACTTGAATCTATGTATGGAATACTTGCCACATGTGAAAAGAATTTCAAAGAATTGTTATAAAAGCTGTTTATTATGCACTGTATAATATTGTTTATTGTGTAAATGATTCAAATTCTATATTGATGCAGATTATCACATTAAAAACATTTTATTTTGGAAAAGAAATAATGTGGCACTAAGGCATACATGCAATTACGTTGAAGATTTTGTAGAATCATTTTACATTGCTTCGGTTTATTAGCCTGTTCGTATTAAATATGTTTATCTCTAATTTCCTTATTCTCCTTTTTTATTTAATAATCGCTAAATCTTTACAGTTTCATATATATGAAACAGAATGAAATGTGGTTTTCATCTCCTCCCACCCTAGCAATGCTTAAAGAGCAATTAACTTGTCGGAAAAAAACATATAAATAGTGATTACATAGTTCTATATTAGTTCTTCAGGGCATTATTAGACAATATATGGTCGACAGCTCGATGTGCATAATTGTTGAAGAGAACATCATTACTTAACTTGAAACATTGTTATGTTGTTAGGTCATAATGCAGACAAATATATTGCATTTAAAGAAATCAAATCAAATAAGAGGGAAAACGCTTAATCTTGTAGCACATGAATTACAAGATTGGTAATGATAAATCAATTTCAATAATTAAATAATTCTTTTTATCTGGATTATTCGGTATAAGGAAGCAGAAACAAAACAACATATATCTTGTTAATTCCTGTTAACTGTTTTTGCATGGCAAACGAACATGGTTTAATAATGGATGTGACAAATTAGCAAACAGGTCAATGATTACACCCCAGTTATAAGCTTTATAAAATGTGTTTAATAAAGAGATATGAAAGAGATTTTTATACAAATACTCAAACATTTAAATAATCTTCTGTCGTGATAATACTCTACACTATTTTTTAGTATTTTGCTCTTGAACTTCTTTGACAACTTCGAAGGTTCATTTTGAACCAAAACGATTTACCCATCAAATCAATGTAAAGACAGTTTGACTGTATAAACGTAGTTACGTTTTATTGTTCAGAAAGTACGCAAAAACATCATGAAAATATTGATGATATATACAACATTTTAAAGCCAAAGTTAATTGAAGGATCAAAATGTAGACAATTTTATGCAACATAAATATATCTTATGAAAGATCTGTGATCTAAATGGTAACATATTGTATGAATTATGCAATGTGCTGGATATCTAAAGCATATTTGAAATGTTGGTATTCATAAATTGATATTGAACGAAAGCACGACGAGGTAAAGATATTGTGCAAACTATGGCGGATAAGTATATTCTATAGTTACAAAATAATGATAACTTTACTCGTACATCTACATGTATTCAATTGTCTTTGGATTGTTTTTTTTTAACAGAGCACATGACATTAAGAACTTTCTTGCTTGTCAGACAGGATTATCTACCGTTTACACCGGTGCTAGGAAACCCTGTCTTACTGCCCCCATGTAAGACAAATCGCGAGCTTTAAATGACGTCATTGACGCGCGCCTTTTATGAATGAATTGCGTTCTTAGGATGACGTCATTTAACCGTTAGAATGAAGTTGTACGTTCATACGCTACTATAAGAAAAAAGTGCATAATGAGAATATAAGTTTTCGTAATTTTTGTTCTGAAAATAATTGATCTGTAATATGCAAGAAAAAGAATCGAACACCGGCTGTCGGCAGAGCCTCGTTACCGCCGTAAACAGTTACCCTCGAGCTAGATATTCCGGTCTGTACCGGCAGCCAGTGTAAGATTCTTATAGTCTGGAAAAAGAGTGATCCCTCGGAAGCATTAGTCACAATAAAAAATTACATGAAAATTGCAGTCATAAATAGACTAAAAAAAGCCGACTCTGCAGTTTCGAGTCTGTGATTTCCTGCTATTTATTATTCGTTTTTTAGGAGTTAACCATATTTCAGAAAGTTTGCTCTTTTTTCTCTAAGAAATTATTTACAATTTCCCTCCAACTGACATTATTCAAGTTAAATGGTGAATTTAAATGAGAATGTCCGAATGACAATTTCCCATGATTGTTTACAAATTTATATTCTACTTCACATAAATAAACAATTACCTACTTCATTCATGGGGATTTTAATACTAGTATAAAACCATCAGAATATATCAGAAAAAAGCATTATGTCACTTTAAAGAACCGGCTCTTGCAAAAATGTTAATTTGATTCCGAGTTTCAGAAGTATGTATTGTAATTACTTTGTAACCTGAAATCCAATACTACTTTTAATATACCATAGTTAGATGAGTATTAACTAATATATCATCAAACAACAGATAATTTTGTTTAATCAATTTTGCAAATTCGTGCATGATTAATTTACGAACACAACAAAATATAAGAATAAAGATCAACAAGGGATTTCAATATCAAGTAACACAGTACCACTAGAAAGACACTAAGTAGGGTACCGATCTTACAGTAGATGGTATCTTATATCAGCAGCAATAGATTTCTGACATTTTGTTAAGTTCATATTATCTGTTTAAATTTCTGCAAAATATAGATCACGCCTATGATACATTTGTATTGTATAAATTTTCTATCTTGATTCCAGTCTACAAAAGACTTACAAAAGTTATCCTCCATTTAAAATAGGATTTTAGCTGCATATTCGTTTG